TATATATATATATATATATATATATATATATATATATATATATATATATATATATATATATATATATATACATACATACATACACACACACACACAGATAAAAGCTTGGACACGCCTACTGAAAATGGTTTGTTTTTCAACAACATAGAAACACCTCCAGATCGTGTAGTTTTGGTCATGTTGTGAACAAGAAGAGAAATAGAGTAGTGCAACAGATGACCTGCCCCCATAATCCCCCGACCTTAACCCTGCGGAGCTGGTTTGGGATGAAATGGATGGAGTAGTAAGCCAACTTGTGCCCAGAACGTGTGGAAACTCCTGAGGACTGCTGGAGAAGCATTCCAGGTGGCTACATCTGGAAGCTGCTTGAAAGAATGCCAAGAGTCTGCAATGCTGTCATCGAAGCAAAAGGGGGTATTTAATATTAGGCGTATATTATTTGCGATGTAGAGCGCTTTTCTTGGGTGCAATATTTGATATGTATTACTCCATTGCCTCCAGACCTTTTACTAAGGTGAATAACAGCTACAATAGAGACAAAGGCAATAATATATGTATGTCACGGAAGTTAAACGTAATGTATGTTGCGTCAACGTTAAAACTAGTAATCCGCACAAGGGGGCAGTAAAGAATGTTGCAGCCGAGCTGTTCATTTAGACTTATGTCATTTGTTAACAGTATTAAAACGGGACGAGAAAACTGCTCTCAGTTACTATTTTGGAAAATAAAGAAATAAATAAACAGCCGCACTGTGCATGTTTTTTAAATGAATCATTAATCATCTCCAAGTGAGACAATTCCCAGTATTGACTGGTGGGGCTTCAGTGGACTTTAAGGGATTGCACATTGTCATAAAAAGAAAAAAAAAGTCACATGTGAAAGTCATTAAGCCCGAGCACTTCCAGAATCCACAAATATAAAAATCTCTACAGGAGTTTACAAGTTGGGATCAAATCCCACCTCTAATTCTACACATTTTCATTAGAAATGTTTAGGAAACCCGAATCTTTACTGTGTCTGAATCTGTAGATTTTCATCTCAACTTTTTAGCAGGTCAATATTTTTTTTGTAGAATGTCCAGTGAAGATTGGCTCTTCCTGATGTTTTGCTTTTTCCTATCAAACAGAAATATTGTTTTCATAAAACTTTACCTTTAATGCACACCCGAAGCAGATGATTGCGACTATTAGTTTATAATGATTCCGATTACGCAGGTGTGCGAATGTTCCGTGTTCATTGCAGACTTGAGGTACAGTATAAAGCCAAACGCACCTTCTCTCAGTCCCACTCCTAAAGTCTATTTACAGAGCCCACTCAGGCGGCTTAAATATTTGACACGGTTTTGATTAAGCTTGGGGTAGATCCCATCCCTTCTGAAGAGAACGCAATCGAACGAAATTCAGACATAAGCCAACATACCATACACCATTCTGGTCATATATTTGTCGGTTTCGTATACGAGAAACATTCCACCCAAAGATGACCTTTTTCTTTGGTCCAAAAGGTGCACGCAAATTTGTCTTTAAGCTGCCATCTACTGGTCACTTTATAAACTTACAATCCATGGCAGCCAATTTCTTAAAAACGATTAAAGCTCCTTAAAGATGTTTGGACGTTTCTGGTTTGTATGATAGCCCCCGCTCATATGAATGGTTGTTGGAAAATGGTAGACAAGAAACACAGGGACATCACATTTGAAACACCTGGACCTTTTCATCTTACATAAACAAGACTATGGCTTTCTAAATGAGGCAATTTCATATCCTTTATTTGGTCACTGTGATTTAAACCTTCTCCGTCTGTTTAATACGTTTAACAACCAGGGATGTCGATATTTTGATTGATATTGAACCGTACTGGACACACAGAATACAGACCTCAACATATGAGGTAATAAATTATTAAAAACTAATTATAGAACGATTAAAATGGTTTCATGTCGTATTTAGCGTAAATACAGCGTTGAACGTGCAAATTGAATTATATAGGCCTATTGCAAATCAGGACAGGCTATGTGAGCGGTGCCAGTGCCCCAGTTTAATTAGTTTTTCCATAAAAAACCAAAACAATAAAAACATTTTCATTTATATTCATGAAGTCATAAAATGCATTAGTTAAAAATGATTGATTATAGGATATAAAGGGAAAACACACACAGACACGGACACACGCAAAACGTTTTAAAATAAAATAACCAAGCAGTCAGTGATGAACTGAAGACAACGTACTAAAAATAATGAATGTCTCGTATCTCTCAATATCTCCACCATCTGCTCCTCTTCTGGACACATGCCTTGCAGTCAGAAATATGTTTAGGGCCCGGAATGTGAAATTGTCCAGAATTTAACCTTGGATCGCTTCCCAGGACAAACAAGCCCGTGACAGTAGACCGATGGAGGCACTACACACATTGGGGGCAGACATCTTCCCAAAACGTTTACTGTCAAACACAAGTAATTTACGCGGAAAATGTATTGTCTTGTGTTTACACGAGGTGCGCTTTAATGATGTTGCTCCATTTAGCTTTTTAAAGTCGCTCGCTGTCATGTGACATCACGCAGACTACATGCAGCTATTCGGCCCATTTACCGGCGTCTTTATGGGTAAAGCAGCGACCCCTTCGTACCTAAAGTTATACTTTTGTGCTTTTATGTTGCGATAAGTAATAACACCGTCATGATCTGCATTACCGCGCGACCCTAAGATAAGCGGCTGGAAGATGGATGTATGAATGATTTGTGTTAATGGCGATAAAAACCATGCAGTGCAATTCCAACGTTATCTCAATATGCATAATGAAATCGGGTAAGTATATCATTACAAATTGTGCTAACCAAATACTAAATATGCTACAATGATGGAATATGATGGAAAATGACTTTTTCCTGTATCCCTTCTTGACTTGGTAAATCACTTCAATGAAAATGTTCATTGTTAATCTCCAAGTTCCATTTAGGTTGAGCCCTGTAATGTAAGTATTTATTAAGCATATAAGTATTTACGCCAAGAACAAAACCATGCTAAATGCTTTAGCCCAGGGTGTAGCTGTGCACTGGGATGACTGGTATAAGCACTGGTGACACAGGCAGGCCTAAGAGGGGTTGGTCTTCGGTTTGGGTTGCTACTGAAGGGACCAGACCTGGGGGGTATTCCACAAAGCAGAATTTCCCAGTTAGCTGGATGTGGAAACTGACCAATAAAAAGAGGCAACTGACAATTTGGCTTAAGTTATTTGACTAATGAAAAAAAATCAGCTTTATGGAATACCCTCCTGGGTACATTTCCCAAAAGCATAGCTGCTAACAATGTTGGAACCATGCAACTGAATGGCGCCAATATGTAAGGCATTATGGGGAGCCTCTGGGAAATGTACCCCTAGTCAGGAGAATGATGAGCAGGAAATAAAAACACTGATCAGCAGATGTCATGTCGTATTTAGAATAAAAACGTTGAACACGCAAATATACATTTTAAATGAGGACATTTGAGCAGTGCTAGTCCACCAGCTTAGTTTTGTATAAAAAAAAAAAAACAAAACAAAACCTGCAAACGGAAAAAAAAAAAAATAAATATATATATATATATATATATATATATATATATATATATATATATATATATATATATATATATATATATATATATATATATATTTTTTTTTTTTTTAAATCGAAGTCACTGGGGATTGTGCCCTTAAACTGCATGACTGGATTCAGTTTAGTGCCACATCATCCCTGCAGAACTGAACCAAACCAAACTCCCAGTGTCAACAGCTAAATGCTCATCTCTGCACTATCCTGAATGCGGGCCGGGGAGCCTGAGTTAGTTCAGTGTCTAGGAGCTCATTAACACACCAAGGCTTAAAGGAAGGGAGATCCCTGATTATGTGACCTCTCGACCAGCACCACACCCCCCATCGTGAGCAACGCGCCAACATATGCAAAGTCACCCTAAGTGTGTGTCAACAAACCAGTTCTGTCCTAATAAAAGCATAGAGCCACACAGTTTGTTAAAAAAAAAAGAAAACGATTCCTCTTAATCTTACAATTACTGGCCCAACTAACTCTCATCACGACACGATACTCAAGTCATGAATCATACTCTGGCTATTGTGTCTGGATTGTTTTTACCTTTAGAGATCCTGGAGATGTCATCATGACATCAATACCCATTACAAGGAGTTCCAATTAAAACACAAATGTTAAGAAGTTAGAAGACAGACATACACATATGTGAATTGGAAGATATGCTTAATGCCTCGGCCACTGAAATATCAGTGATCAACAAACCAAATATAAATTTCTGTTTTTAAAGAATGGCAAAACACTCTCCTACAAATAACATGGTAACTAGGGGTAAAAGGCACAGATCTGGATGTAGTTTGTTAAAATGAAGACATTTCTGGCATCAGTTAAAATACCATGTCAGAGTTTTCTCTGTCAGAAGTACCATGCCAAACTGCAGTTTTGAAATAGTGTTATTTTCATGCAACTTGGCAAGGTGGCAGATTTTGTATTTAAAAAGACCATTTTCCCTTATGTAGAAGAACACTGTCATGACAAAAAAAAAAACGTATGTGATACCTCTAAATCCCTGTAAATTAAACCGGGACATAAACCTGACACAAAAATTGAGGGTGTCCCTTCAGACAGGCTGACAGGCAGCAGTTTGAAGCAGCTTCTCGTTCACCATGCTGTCCCACAGATGGTTAGCTCTCTTCCTTATCCCCGGTACCTAGGAGCCGCGATCTCTCAGAGCTGCTGCTGCTGCTCTCCTCTGCGGTGCAGCAGGGCAGCTTGGCCACCAGGGGGCGATGGAGGCCATTGTAGAGCGCTGTACCAGCCAGAAGGATGATGAAGCCCAGTACCTGCAGCCCATGGAACTGCTCCCAGCCCACGGCCAGGCTGACCACCCAGATGACGACGGTGCGGAGGCTGTCCAGCACCATGCGCGTGGTGGCACTGATCTCCTTGGTCACGCTGATGCCAGCAAAGTTGAAGAAGGCGATGCTGATGATGTTGCCTAGCAACGCCAGCACGATCATGGGCTGGTTGCCGATCTGGCAGAAGGCGTCCAGTGCGTCTTCCAGGACGCGTCGGGGGTTGTTGCTGAAGTCCCCCACGGGGATGTAGAACATCGGGATCAGCAGAATGGTGAGGATGATGAAGCCAAATAGTCCTGGGTGGAAAGGAGGAGGGTTGTTAGGAGGAAAGTCTCCATCTCAAACACAAGTGGTGAAACCGGTTTACACCTTATACCAAACTACTAGAGACACCTTGTTTGGTTATAGTTCAAATCCTTGCTAAATTAGCATTACACATCACCAGCAGCGGAGCAGTGACGGTGTTCAGCACCACTCAGACCAGCTTGTTTTTAGCCTCTGAGGTTTGGGCCCCCTGTTGGCCACAAATAGTTACTACACTAAACATTAAACAAATTCATTCCTAATTTACTGGATGCAGAAGCAGGATATTCTGATAACCAGCTGTCTGCCTATGATTTTATGACTCTAGTCACTAGCTAATGGTTGGTGGTTGAGTGGGGGGGGGGGAGCGCAAAGTGGCTTTATAACCCCCAGATAAAACAAACCCACCCCTGCCTGAGGGGGTAGTACCTTCAGTCCCGACGGCCCGCAATGGATGCACGTCGTGCTTGTAGACAAACTTCTCCTCCAGGACCATCTGCACGGCAGCAATGATCTGAGCCATGATGATGAGGAGGTCGCCTGAAAGAACCAGCAGCTCGCATCACTGCGTCACGTGTGACGACGCGGCACCACCATCCACCCGCCTCTGCTTTACCCGTGATGACGTCGTTGAGCTTGTGCGTGTCGTCCCTCTGTCCGCTGGCGAAGTCCGCCACGCCCACCACCACCAGACCCAGGATGGTGATGAGGATGCCGGCCCACTGGCTGGCCACGAGGCGGCGGTTCAGGAAGGCCACGGACAGCAGCCCGGTGAAAATGATCACGGCGCCACGCAGCATCTGGAAGCTGGAGGCGCTGGTCATGTTCAGGGCTGGGGAAGCAGAGAGCGCGGCAGCCGTGAGGAGCGCGTGGGCTCAGACGCTCGCAAGAGGGAAATCGGAAAGATACCCAGGCCAAGAGTTCAGCAGAATGCGGTAATATTACTGAAAAGCAGAAGAGAGAGTACCATCTCTGCATGGTTTGACTGGAAGGAAACTGACAGTCAGCTAAAGCAGTCAGTCACTGACAGCTAACCATTAACTCCCATTTCCCATTCGCGCTGTTAACGAGCATCACTAACTTGACCGCCAGGATAATCAACAGGTGCATTAAAACACGGAAATGTGATATTCCCAGGTATCCACATTTACTTATTTAGCGGATGCTTTTATCCAAAGTGATGTACATTTCTGAGAAAGTCCCCAGAGAAAGCGTGAGATAAGTGCCTTGCTCAAGGGCCCAATGGTGACATCACTCCTGTGACCATGGGATTTGAACCGACGACCTTCCGAATACAGGCATCGAGTCCCAACTCAGTGAGTTGCACACCGTGCGCCAGAGAGCGGAGGCAAGACGTACCGACATACATGATGGACGTGGCCAACATGTCACAGACCGCCGGGGGGAGGAAGAGCAGGGGGTTGAAGGGCTGGCCAGCATTCATCTTGGGCTCGGGGGCACGTCTGTCATGACAGAGCAGGATGTAGAACACGGCCAGGCAGCTGAACTCCCCGAGGAACATGCCCACAGCCTATGGAAGAAGAACACCACATCCAAAAGGGTGGAGAACCTACAGAATAAGGTTCATTATCCTGATTGAGCACTGAGGCCACAGAAGGCTCAGCACAGCTGCCATAAAGCTACTCCGATTAGAATACTGACGGAATCACAACATTCCACAGACTGGGAACGAACGACCCTACCTGTAGAAAGGGGTGGGAGAAGGTATGAGAGGCAGAACCATGACATCCCGACGCTGAGAAGTTGTCAGCCCACCTGCAAAGCAGAGAGAAAGACTGGCATGGGGAACTGCAAGTAAAACACCAGTCACTGATCGGCCAGCACTGCAGCCAACCAAATCCATGACAAGAAGCTCCAAACTGATAAGAACATCCAGAACCTGCACTCAAGTCACAAAAAAGTACAGAAACAAAAATACTGAGACAGAAGACCATCAACCTACCACGGCTGAACACATATTTATTTTACTGCATCCCAGAAATAATTTTATATTTATTGTAAAATCTATTCCATTACCCAATACCCACCTCTCTGCTATATGAAAAAGCACTGTAGGTGTGAGCAGAGAGGAAAAGGACACTGGACATACAGAGAGAGTAAAGCGTTTCAGAGGCAGCAACCGGCGTGTTGAAACTGGAGTGATTTTATTACGATCTGAACTCTTGGCAAACACTTCAAGAATTTCTACATTCTCTAAAAGCTGGAGAGAAAGGTTGAGTAAACATTTGTCAATATCATTAAAACGGTATCAATAAAAATCACCGAGTACTCACTTCTTAAACACTACCGATTAGAGTGGTTCAGCACACTGAATATTTTCTGTTTAACGTTAATAATGATTAACTGGCGAGTATTGAATATGAGACTCCCTTCTGGTCCGGTATGATCCAAAAGGTAAACTGAGCTGGCAATAGAAAATTTACAGCGCTGACCCAGAACCACACAGCCTGCCAAGGAAGCCTGACGCCTTACGCTACATTACATTTCATTTATTTACTATTCAAAATACCGTTAAGGAAACTGAAAGAAGAAACGGCTCATGTTCAACCTGAAATGGGGAAGGCGTGGGATACATGAGCCGCTAAATGTCACGATGAACAGAGAGTACTGAAGACAAGACAGAAACAAACAGGGAATAACTTAATCAGATTAATCAAGTATTTCTAAGCAGTGAAAAATTCAACGTACGTGCTCTATTGTCTATAGTGAAAGAGAAAGTGATGCACTGACTATTAATAATAACCGGGAAAAATCAATTTGAATTCTCTGTCAAAATACTCACGTGACCAGATATGACGCGTCATGTGCGGAGTAGCTACTCAGCGGCACGAAATGCGTTTAATGAAACATTAATAAACTGTGTAGAGAGCTACAATAATGAAATATTTGTAATATACCAGCCTCCCCGAGGATTCTGCTGGCAGACCTACTTTAAAGAAGTGAAATGCGCCCCGAAAGCCAAAAAGTAACAACATTAAAGTTATTCCACTAAACTGCAAGCGGTGGGGGTTTTCAAAGTCCCGTTTTATATCAGTGTCATTTGCAATAAACCGGTTACAGAGAAGTACAAGGGCAAATATCGATTAATTTATCACGGCGTCAAATAATCGCTGATGTAGCACCTTTTCGGCACATGACGGCTTCTCATGACAAAACATGATGACCCGAAACAAGAGCCATCAGTAACTTTAAGGGCAACGATTTAGCAGAAACTTTTGCTGATAACTTCATCACGACTGACCTAATTAATCAACTGCCCGATCATAGGAAATGCGGAGAGTGCGATCTAGTCACCACCCTGCACAATGGTTTAATCAGTTTTAATGCGACCTTGCTTTGGAAAATTAAATTACTTAACCCGTTACGACATTACAAGGACTTATTTTTTAAGAAATGAAAGGTACGATGGCATGCCACCATTTCCAAAGGATACTGACCGAATGGAGATGTGAGACACCACCCAGTTTGCCTAATATCCTGGCGTGATTTGAGCAGACCCGGGCTTGCTGAAGACTAGAAGCGTCATAACCGGAGACACTTACTTGGCGGACAACGTGTTGATAGAGCCGGTGATGAGCATCATGGCAGCCAGCAGCAGCTGGTACTTCGTCCAGGCCATGTTGACTTCTAATGCCGGGGGATCTTCTGCTAATCTTCTGGAGAGCAACCAGTTTTGATCCAGATTTCAATGGGTTTCCTGCAGAATCACGTGACTGATTTGTCAGCTGACTCTCTGTCAGCCTTTGCACCATCCCGCAGCCGAGAAGGCGGATCTTCTGAAGGACCTTAGATCAGCTCGTCAGGCGCAATCACGTGACTGCATGTCAGCTGACTTAACGTCACCCCCGTCCTGTCCTGTAGTCCTGCAAGCATCTGTGATCTTTCGTACCAAATACACCTAAAGCAGCCGCCGCCAACTTGTCGATCGCGATCCACTGGTCACATGTATAGGAGGTGAATGAGTACACTATTTAGAAATAGCGTACTCCGCTTTATCTCTGACGGTACGCGCCGCGCTGTGACGGCACACTGACGAGGAAAAGATTAATTTTCCCGTCGCCACCCCCCCCCCCCACACCTTTTGTAAAAGTCGCTCTTTCGAGACCCATGATCTAAACCGTTTTGCATCCTATTAGAGGAGCGCAGTCCATATTCCACTGGCTCTGAGATTAAATCGACATGCGGCAGGCTGTTTGTCAGACCTGCATGCTGAAGAGGACAGGATAATCATTCCTGCCATATCTCCAGGGGTTCAGCGAATAATGTAGGCAAACTGCTGTCGGTGCTGGTGATGGATCTCACAAGGTGTCCAGTAGAGGTGTAGGGCCACATTACATTTATATAGGCTACTGTATTTTGTTTTATTACATTTATTATATTGTATTGTTTTAGAAACGCATGTGCAATTCACGTATCAGGTTGCCCGTAACGATCTGCGGGTTGTATTACGCAAACTATGCGATTATTATTTTTATTATTATTATTATTATTATTATTATTATTATTATTATTATTATGCGATTTGAAATAATTTCTACGTATTTTGTTTCATTGCGTGTAAAAGACGCTAACCTAGATTACTACAGTGCGGAAGAAATCGGGTGAGCATTAAACCCATTGAAGCAGTTATTTTGTGAAGCACGAGGGGGCAGTGTTGCTTCTGCGTGTCACAAATGACATTTTTTAAAAGGAATTGCGTTACTCAATAGATTGTTTTGGGGGAACAGGCCTATTCAAGTAGGCCTATGCCCCCCCTCCCCAAAATCTGCAGACCAATAATTAGCAATAACCCAGCATTGTTACCTTTAATTTATTTGAATTTATTTTGAATTGAAGCGTTTTAGAAGTATGAAAGTGTCTAAAATCATCATCATTTTTTAATGATTCGTAGTCTTGTCAGATTAAGTTGAATTTGATTTGTCTGTATATACACCCATCCACCCTTAGATCAGTGTAGAGCACAAGGCAGTGCTGCATCCTGGTTGGAATGCCGGTTCATTGCAGGGCATCTGCATGCAAACTAGGGCCAATTTATGTCTGCTGGTTACCAAATTTAATGCCTTTGAACTGTAGGAGGAAACTGGAGTACTAGAAAGAAAACTATGTAACACAAGGAGAACATGCAAACTCCACACACAGACTGGAGGTGGGATTCGAACCCAACACACTGAAAACATGCAAAAGCAGTGCTACCCACTGAGTTATTGGGTCACTCACTGTACACACAAGTGTTTCATTATTATAAAATTAAAATATTTCTTTCCTCTTTTCTCTTATTGCTTGTTCCTAAAACTTTTTAGTTGGACAATAATAAAACAGCCATAAGCCCCAGTTTACCTTTCCGGGAGTGTTAAGCTATCCAGCGTCCTTGTATTTGTGATTTTGCACAAACAACTTAACTTGACAGTGGTTTCGGGCACTTAGATAGAACTACAGAAGAAAATAATTGTACAGTTTGTGTTTTAAAATATATGGTGTGTCATTTAACGATTTTCAATGTGGCTGTTTAATTTGAATAATTTATTAATGTTTTACCAAATCTGTATGATTTAATTTAGTGTTATGTCCACACAATAAGTTGTAAATGGACCAGTCTATATTATTTGTGCAAGCAGCTTTTTTAAAGCACCTGATGATCACACCCATTTGAAAGATAAACTGGAAATGTAAGTTCAGTGCATGTGTGTTACCTAAGTTAATTGTGACTAACCTTAATCTCCGTGAATTGTGACTTATTCTTACGGGTGAATGGGCGGTGATTTCGACAGCTATGGGGGGCAGCACCTCAGTGTGTGCAGAAATGGAGACAGGAGATTGGAGGTTCCTAACGGCTGTGGACACCCAGCACACCACCAGGAAAACANCCCCCAGGCTAATTTAAGCTGTTGCTAAGCTACATTCTACCAGGCTCAATCGATGGCTTTCCCAGCCACTAATTACAGTTAATTGTTTTCCTTATTTAGCATTCCTCCCCCCTCTCCCCCCCTCCATGTTTAAGCGAAAGGTCATTTGATAGTTTCATCGCACGAATGTCATGAGAGGGGGGGGGACCCTCATCCTTATCGACCTTTTATAGAGCTGAACACAAATGGCGGGAGAATCTGTTGGTACGGTTATTGGGCTTTTCCTGCAGTTTGTTCGTTGAAAATAACCTGAAAAAACCCCTGGAGAGTGGTTACCACATAATAGCAATAATAATATTATTGCTGTGTCATCACATCGTGATAAATGGACTGCATTTATATAGCGCTTCTCTACTCCTACGAGTACTCAAAGCGCTTTACAATACATGCCTCGTGTTCACCCATCCATACACCGGTGGCAAAGACTGCCATGCAGGGCGCCAACCTGCACACAGGGAGCAATTTGGGGTTCAGTGTCTTGCTCAAGGACACTTTGATGGGATTAGGAAGAACCAGGGCTCAAACCTGCAACCCTCTGGTTGCCAAACGATAGCACTACCTCCTGCGCCACCATCAATTATTGTTGTTGTTGTTATTATTAATAAAGTAATAATAATAAAAGCACATTCAGGGTCTCTAATACTCACGAGCATCCGCCACCTAGTGTGTCAGATGTTTGAGGTGCAGTCCCTAAGGACGTCTGTTAAAGGTAATCTAATAAAGTAAGTACTATATATTAATGTTGTTTTTATTTCTGCTTTGTAATGAGTTATTTTCACATTATGGACTGCAGTGGTGTAAAATGTTATATGGATTTGCCCAAGCAGTAGCAAAAAATCCTTGAATTGAGCCCAAATGTAATGCACACACATGCATACAAACACGTGCAGGTCCATACATTGACGGTGTGGATATTAGCTCTAGGATCTATAATCTTCTCTCTTGCATCTGACTGATGATTGGTAATGCTGATGCTCTCTGGTCCTGTTCAGGTCATGCTGAATGTCTGATGATCGCATTCCCAGTGGCAATGTTCACCACCATTCAAACCACGCGTTTGCGTAGGGCGACCTGTTGGTCACGAACAGTCACTGCAGTGAATATTCAATAAACACATTCCTTATTTAGGAGATGCTGAAGCAGCATTTTCAGTTAGCTAGCTACGATCTGGCGCTAGTCCCTACCTGTTTACTTGGTAATAACATGCCGCTGAGATGTCACTTTTCTGAACCTAATTGTCTGTTACCACTATGGGCCAAATAGCATTTATTTATGACAGAGGATTATACGTTTAACATTATAAGGAAAATTGACTATATGATTAAAGTAAATAAAACATAGCATCTGTTACTTAGATGTTTCCCCCCCCCACCATCCATGTATTCGCTTAAATAACCTTAATTTCCATCAGTAACAGGTCGGGGAATAGGGGCCGTGCCTTGGGCTGAGACACAGGGAAGGGTCACCTTTTAAACCCAGTGGCACGTGTGTAGCGTGTCCCCCGTGACACGGTCCATGCCGCACATGTGCTCGGATTTGTGATGACATGTGGCACTTCGGCCGCGTGGCTCTTATGTAACCGGTCTTCGACAAGCGGTTTCTGGCTGGAGTGACACGAGCGAAGCCCCCCCTCCCGCCCGAAGGCTGGCAGACACACTCGCCGCGCAAAATCGCCGTGTCCCTGTTCCGTCACCCAGGGGCTGCTTACATTACAGAACACACATGTACCACATAGAATAAGTTACCTATCTGAGGTATTTATATCTCAGGTAGCTCATCCCATGGACATCCAGTACATGATTGTGGTCCTGAAATGATCCAAATATGCAGGGAACCCAGGAACAAAAATGAAGGCAAAAAATGAGTTATTTTTGGAGTGAGACCCTAATCTTTAGTGACATTGAAACAGCACTGCAGTTTTGATCGTAATACATTTTGAAGTCAGGAACATTTTAAGGCTATAGTACCAAACAAGGAAAGGCGACATTCCCACTATGCCATTATATGTGTAAGATTATAGAAACAGATCAACATTAAGACTCACGAAAATAAGGATACATATTTATGTCAAAATCTTGAGAAATACTGTCGGATTTGGGTCCTTTTGTTTGGCTATAAAAGCACAGAGATGTTCCACTAACATCCATCTGGAATGCCAGTTGGGCGGGCGGGACTTGTGGCCAGTCAGATCCCACCAGAACCAAGTGGTCACGACGACGTTGAGCCGGAGGGTGGCTCTGTGCGCCGAAGTTCCTCTGAAAAACGCCGAGA